ATGCAAAAATTTAATTTTTTTTTAAAAAAGTTAGAAGAAAAGTAGAAGAGAAAGAAAAAAAAGATTCAAAGAAGTGGCTTTCAGTCTTTACAGCAGTTTTAAGTGTAAATTTACCTCTTTCTCTAAAGTTACACCATGACTCTCTTCTTTCTATAATCTATCCTACCTAATCATCAAAACTATAAATCATAAGTTCTTTTTTTTTCTGTTTTACACAAAAGTCCATAAGGGGTTTTTAGTCAGTTATAAACATAAATATTGTTTTTTCTCTAATCAAACAAGTCATATCTCAGCAAGTTCTATCACTCTCACCAACCATTCCTCCACTGTAGATATTGCTCAATCTTTCCATCTTTGTGTATACAATTATCTTGCTCCGTTGGGTCTAGAATGGCCCCTTGAGATAGTGAAACTACTCCCTGCCTCAAAGAGTGGTTAACCACTGCCAGAACCCAACCACACATCCCTTCCCGGGAGGTCTTAACCAACCAGGGGAGATATAGATCTAACACAGAGGTGGCTGTGCTAACAGCCCCGAGGACTCTGTCTGCTTCCTCAGGCCCAACAGGTTCAAACTCTCCCCAGTAACCTCCACAGGACCTGAGGCCAGAGTTCACCTTAGACCAGACTCTAACGTGCAGTGTTGTGAAGGGAAGCACTGTTGGTCAAGTGTGCAACCTTATATTGGATTGGTTGAGTTACTGTATGCATTATCTGAAAAGATGATCACTGAATTTAAAAGACCCTTCACCCAAAAAGAATTAGATTATTAACATGTTTTCAGCATAGTTACAATGATTTTTCTGTTTTGAAGATTCAGGTTAAAAAAAGTAATAGCAAAGCGTTCTGCCATGTGCTCTGACTTTTTGTTGGTTAAGATGTACATTTGTTGAAAGAGAGCATCAATAAAACGTATTCTATTCACCCCATGATTCATGGCCCTATTTTGGTAATAGCATTTATAATGATGAATGCTATCGTGGTCCTGGCCCTATACAGAAAATTAAAGTGATATAAAATATAAATAACTATGAAGTGTAGTTTATGGTTTTATAAAAGACTATGGTATGCTTATTTTTCTTAAAATATTGTATAGAATTTTTCAAAAGACTAACAGAAGTTCAAACTTTATAGGTTGAGAAATGAACTTTTTACCGAAGTAACTGCCTCTATGGTTTGTTAAAGCCTATAGTGTGCTTTTATGAAATAGTTATACTTGAAGAGTTGGTGTGCTCCACGCATAGAACTTAAGTATTTTATGACAATGCTTTAGTAATTTTCCTTTTTTTCTGTCCTGCAGGAGAGGAATAGAAACAAACAATAACTATATGGAGATGGTCCCGCTAGAATTACAACACTAATGATGTAGACTCTGGAAATGCCTAATATGTCTAAGAAGACGTTATTAAAGCTTTGTTCCTGCTTAAGGTGACATCTTTGAACACTTTAACACAAAATTGACTTTTCTTGTAATGGTTCTCATCAGTGCATCTGCCCTTATACTCTCTCACCAAACACACTTGAGAACTGTAACTTCGTCAAGCACTTTCTGTCCTGAAGCTTTTACCAGTATCTGCTGTCTTTTGTAATTATGCATCCTAGCTAAGGCACAGGAGATGGAACGAATGCAAGGATTCATTAACTCTTTGGATTTGTTAAATACTAACAATTAACCATCATAAGTGGTTCAATGATGTGAGATTCACATTGCTTCAATTTATTTTTCTTTGATGTAGTTTTTTAATTGTCAGTTTTTTTAGCTATTCAGCAGAATTTAAAGCAAAATCATGCCATATTTAGTCCTGGAGTAAAACTCAAGTCTAAATGTTCATGTGAAAATTATTGTAGTAAACTTTTAATATGGCAAAGCAACTTTGAGCTACAGTTTAGCCAAATGAATTATAACATGAAATTATATTAGAATGTCACTTCCCTTGTTTCAAACTGTTTGGTGTAGAGAATATTAATATATGCAGCTTGGTGGGCCACACCAGTTAATGCACATTTCTTTTTTTTTTTTTTCCCTGTAACATGTATACCGGAAGAAGTGTGTTTGTCTGAGGAACTGTTTGTTTGCTACACTCAATCTCAATTTTGAGTACATGTACCTCAGTCTAAATCAGACTTTTTATGACCTTTATAACGACACTTAAAATCTTTAATTCCTATTTCTGGGTGTTTGCAAGCCTGAAAAGATTGCTATCATGGAAGTGAAAATTTATTCCTCTAAGTGATTCACTAGCTAAATAAACATTATTCTTGTTTTAGCAAGCATATATTCAGTTTCTCAGATTTTGTTTGTTCCCAATTCTGAATATAATAGTCTGCTATTCTTTCACTTCAAAATACTTTGGGAAATAAAACGTTTATCCATGGTTTCAGTTTGTATGCTCTCATGGCTGTGTTTACATGTTACTTATTAGTACTATATAATAAAAGCCTAGGAACCATAATCACCTGAATATTTTCTATGCTACTTTTTAAAATTTATTTTAAAAATTTACTTGTGCATCAGTGTGACTAGTACTGTTTTGAAAACATAATAGCTGTGTTATCTGCATAAAAAAACCTGAGCAGCTGCACTGTGGTGTCTAGCTGTGTTCTGTTTTTAGAAGAGTGGCTTGGGATACAGGCATAGAGAGGTCTTTAAAAATTATTTGTGAATTCTTAATTATATTTGTAAACCACAAATGTTTACATAATCTCTGGATCCCTTCATTACTTCTAAAACCTGTTATGGTAGTTAGAATTATGTTAGAATGTTATTTTTGTACCACGCATACATATATACATACATACATACATACATACATACATACATACATACATATAAATAAATAAATAAAAGTAGGGTGGATGGCAGTTTTGATTAAAATGGCATTAATGTTGCCATAATGCTTGAAAGCAACCTTGTACATATTGAATGCATCGTCTGGATCTATAGCTTTTCTTTTAGAGGAATGTTATGTAAGCAGGGGAGAGAGAATTCATGTCAGTACAACTGCTGCTTCCCCACTTATTGCTGCCAAAAATTCTGCTGGGTTGATCTTGCCTTACCTTAGCAGAAGGGTAATTAAGAAGAAAGTACAGATCACCAGGGATGGCATATTTTGGACAGTATATCACATGGGAGAATCTAAAGCTTCCTCCAGTCTGCCCCTGACATCACTTTTCCTCTGTCACAATCCAGATGAGTCCATTGAGAAGAAAACTTCCACCATAACTTCATTGACGAGATCTGCAATATCTTATTGCTCCTAGGATATCTTCCCATGGGATTGTACCTAAGGCTTTCTTTTGTATACCTGGAATTATAGTCCTTTGAATGCTATGGGTCATCCTTCTAATAAAATATATTTAGGAAATTTAGCTGTTAGATACCTATTTCCAAGTGAATACGTTAACTTGAAAGAAATAAGATATGTATTCTCTAAATCCCATGCATATATGTTAGATCAGGGGTCGGGAACCTTTTTGTCTGAGAGAGCCATGAACGCCACATATTTTAAAA